GTTGTGGAGTCTCCTTCTCTGGAGATATTCAAGACCCACCTGGACAAGGTCCTGTGCAGCCTGCTGTAGGTGACCCTGCTTTGGCAGGGGGGTTGGACCAGATGACCCACAGAGGTCCCTGCTAACCCCTAACATTCTGTGATTCTGTGAATCATGTGCTGAAATACAATGAAATATTCTTAGACAACATTTTGCCAAGCAGGATAAACAACGCTTCCACTCAAAGATACAAATTGCAGTATGCTGACCTCTCTAAAAAATTTGCATCAGTAAGAAAAATAACTTTTTGCAGCCCTGAAGAGAAAACACACTTTTTAAACCTGGTATATGACCTTTGGCTAAACACTTGTGTATTCACCCCTCTAGAGATGAGCTAGCAGCGGTCACCTTTCTCTGAGGAAGGGGCTGATGCCTCAAAGCTGCATCCCTGCAGGCAGAGAGCTCTGCAGCCGTGCAGAGCTGCTGCTTCTGCCCATCTGCACCCATGCTCCCTGAAGGGACCTGCTGCGTGGCGCTGGGAGCGGGCAGCAAGCTGGCAACGGGCAGGCTGCGGCGCAGCGCACGGGGGACACGAGCAGCCAAGTGATGCAAACCGATAACCTGGTCCAGACTCACTCGGCTCTAACCTGTTCAATGAATTTTGTTGTGTTCTTTCTGCATCTGCAGGTCTTTGTGCTGGGTCAGACGTTGTCTGTCCCCCTGATGCCAGCTTAGAATTTGAACACAATCCTTGTCATACACCTCGGCTACTTTGTCAGAGCTGTGACCACCGACCCACCACGCATGACTCGGATCCAAGCTGGTGACCTGGGAGCACACAGATTCAATGTGGAAAACCATGGCCTAAGAGGCAGGGTTGCTCAGGCTGTGTTCAGATAAAATGGCAAATCCAGTGTTAAGCCAGACTAAAGCCAACCTAGCTGCTGAAATGATGTTAAGTCTTTCCAAAGATTCAAATACACATTTTCTGGGGGAAAGGCTAAGTTTTTCCCAGCAGACTTTCTGTTCTAAAGAATCACCTGCCCTCCTTCTGACCAGCTGCCAGGACAGAAACCTGAGGGTGACAGACACCGTGTAGCCTCCTCCGCCAACTAGCCAGGGGTGCAGCTGCGGGTTTATGACTGTTTCGTTCGTCTTTGCTGCGGGGTGACAGGAGAGTGCACAGTGCTGCGGCCGTGACTGGAACCGTGATCCTGGCCCACACTGAGCTGCCTGTTGCCAGACTGCCCATGCAAGCTAGCCTGATGTCCCTCTGAAAACCTGGTCTGCAAGGGGAAATAGAAAGAAAGAAAACAAAGAAAGCGGGGAATCAGCAAACAGTTGGGCTGAATCTCCGTCTCAAATCAAATACCTTTTATTGCTGGAAATTTATAACCAATGAAAAAATGTGAGCTTCTGGAGAGCTGGCAGTCTGGTCCTTGCCACAGCAATGAACTCCGCAGGAGGCTGTGAGCAGGGCAAGGGAACTGACATTCTTCCTGACACTCCACACTGGCACAAACCTCATACACTAACCCGCAGAGCATCTGAAGACACGCGAAGGGGCAGTTATTTTTTTTGATGTGGCATTACTGGAAAACAGACAGAGTTGATTTTTTATTTTTAAATGTCTTTAGCAACGAGCATTTTTTGAACATAAATCTCTTATTCTACAAACAGAACGTCTAATTGCATCATGCCGATTGACTACCAGTTAATCTCATCTCAAATAAAGACAAGATTGAGATGATGCAATCATGAGAAAAAAGAGTTCAAAAGCACAATTGCAATCCGGGCTTGGAGAGGGTGACGCAGGTAAGCAACTCTGCTATGAATCCCTTTGAGGAACTGGAGACACGCTGCCTTCCCCGGTCAGCCCCATTTCATTCATCCGGAGCAGGCTGTGGAGCAGCTGGTGTCAGGGGACGTCACGTAACAAGAGAATCACAGAATCATAGAATGTTAGGGGTTGGAAGGGACCTCTGTGGGTCATCTAGTCCATCTCTGCCCAACTGCCCAGCCTGTCCAGGTCTCGCTGAATTCATGAAAGGCTTGTGCATTTATTTGTTTAATACTCACTGTTGAAAGCTGTGAAAACCAACAAATTTAAACAAACTAGCTTGAACAAAAGCCAGTATATGGGTAGAAAATCCGGTTTGCCTCTGTTGACAATCCGCAGACAATCGTTAGGGAGTAGTCATTCCCTGACCTTTTGTCACTCATAATGTTTCAGAGTCCATCACTACTACTGTCACTACAAAAATATTAGGATTTATGTATGGTTTTCCAAGCATTACCTTACTCACACACACTGTCCACAAAAGTCAGTAGGACTTTTTGCACAACAGCAAGAGAATTTTACCCTACCTAACTAAAATTTAGAGCTTCCCAGTAAGGTCAGTGAGTATTTAAAGTTCATTTGGAAATTGCAACAGGTAAATTAACTGAGTCAGAGTGAGTCAGGTACAGAACTGGGTTTGGTGCTCTAACCATGTAATTAAAAAAAATTCACGCTAATGGGAAACTGTTGTTGCACAAGAATCGACATCCTACTTCTCGCCTTGATACCGGGATTGTCAGTGATGGATCTCTTCTACACATGACAGTGTGGGAGTTCTTGGTGTGGCCTGCTGAGATAAATGGGTCTGCCTAGTCCTCTTTTGAGTACAGTGTATTCAAAGAGAGTCTTCTTCAGCTGGGTGGGGTAAGGAGGACAGCCGGAGGGGCTTCCTGGCTTGAGCACTTACTTTGGAAAAACAATGTCCTGGTCATGCCTTCCCTGTGCCCTAGAGAGAACAGACTGACCAAAGTGCACTGTCAGTTCATGTCATACTCTTATGAACTCAGAATGGTTTTGATAAAGCAATTAAATTTTCAGTAAACCAAAAATAGTCATTTCAGATCGGACCAACTCTATAAAAAGTCTTGCTTGAAATTCAACACTGCTTGCCAAGAGAAGGAAACATCAGAAAGGTATGAATTTTGGCCCCGGTGTTTGCACCAGTTCCGCTGGTGACCTGGATCAAATAATTTAATCTCTGTATTTCCATTTCCTCACCACCCAAAGGTTAATAATCTCACACTGGTGAGAAATACGCTATTTTTCTTTATCTGGTATATTCTTTCCTTTCTGAATAACTGAAATAGCTACAGAAATAAAAATAAATTGTTAACTCCAGTTAATGGAAAGATTTCCAATCATTTCTACCTGAAACATTTCTACCTGAAAAAATTTCTAGGTACAAAGGAGTAAGAAATAAATAAAGAGACGGATGCGAAGTGGTTCTAATGATTTTGCTAAATTAATTTAATTTTATGCATATCTACAGTTGGCCATAGTACAACACATACTGAATAACAGGGGCTGTGGTTACGGCTGGTTCATCAGTAACCAAAGTTAGATTAGGAAGACCTACATATATCACTGGCTTTATCAGACTTCTCATAGATGATCTTTTTTCCCATTATAAGGTTCCTGCACTATTTATTTCCCAAGGACAGAGCTATATCGGATGCTATACTTGGATTGTCCCTATTTTCTTCCATTCAGGTTTAAAACAACCTACACAAAGTTCCTAGTCAGGTGAAAGTTGCCACTGCCCGCTGCTATGGGTGTATGTATATGTCTATATATAAATATATGTGTGTATATATGTACACTGATGACACTGTGCTAACCTGCAGTAAGCAGCAACAAGAAAGGTCTTCTCCTGAAGTTTTTACTCAAAGCAAAATCCTCTATAGTTTCCTGAGTGGGTTTTTTTCCGTTCAGGAGTGCAGTAATAGGACCTGAATTGCCATATATTTACAATCCGCTAGGCTATTTTATTAAGCGAGTCTCAAATCGCTGCACAGAAATAATTTACTCCACTGCACCTTGTGCTGAGGTAGCATGTTTTAAAAGAAGATCACAAACCTGTTTTGCAAAATATAAGTTTATTATAAGTATATTTTATAGATAATAGAAGTAGGATTATAAATGTATTTTGGCCTATGTCTAGTCCCTTTACCTGGATATGAAACTATCTGACTCTCAGGTAAACAGAGCACAGAAGTGATTTGTGTAAAATTACAAAACTCACCAATTTCAATGCTTAACAGGAAATTTGAAGTCAGATGGCAGCATTTTCGTATACAGAAACAGGGAGAGGATTTTACCTGGTCCTCGTTTCCCCGCCCAAACAGTGCACAAGAAGACAGATTTGTCTGGAACACGCCCCGCTGGTCAGTCTGATCCAGTACAGAGGAACCTTGTTCCCGGATGGAAACCAGCTGCTGGGAGTTTACCACCAGCAAGGAGAAGGTTATGGCAGCAGGGCGGGGAAGCACTTTGCCAGGCCGGCAGGAGCAGCGCCTGCCCCGTCCGTCGGCCTTGGCTGTTTGTCCGGCAGCCATTGATCAGAGGCGCACGGAGGCGGCCCTGG